GACTTCATAGAGTAATGATTGGACTTGGAGTTTAGGAATGGAAAGGAGATATGACATTGAGAAGGATTTGCGATAGAGCTTCTGATTAAGAGAGACCTAGAACCTCGGGGCTTTGAGTTTGATCTTTTTGGTTCCTTATGGCACTTGGGAAGCTCCCTTGTCTTCAAGTAGCTGATTATGGGAACCATCTAACTCGTGGTCAACCTGTCGGATTAGACCAGGAGAGTCACACTAGTGCCAAGTCACTATCGCTAAGTGCATTCTAAACTGAGGGGCAAGGCCAAACACGCCAGGGCAGGTGCACGACAATTATGATTTCGAGGAGTCTGTGAGACAAAGACCTCTTGGAACTCTACCATCATTCCTCGCACCTTTTGGTGGTAAGCCCTTATATTTGGATCACAAGTTTCAAACTCCTTATTTACCTAGTTTATGATCAATTATGAATCATAGAACACTTGTAGATGGTCAGACCCAACTGCTTTTGCTTCTGGAGAAATGGGCCTCATATTTGGCTTTATATCTTGGCTGGTCAAGACAACCCTGACCCCTGTCCCCCAAGCACTGAAAGACCCATCCATATTCAAAATCAAAGTCCCATGAGAAACCTCTAAGGTCTAGGATAGTTCTTTCTCTAAGTGAGGTGGGTTTGATTTGTGTGAACTTGACAATGAAGTTCGCTAGGACTTATCCTTTGATGGATACACAGGGATGATATTGAATGTCAAACTCTCCTAGCTCAGTGGCCCACTTGGTGACTCTTCCCATCAACTCTTCATTCCAAAGTACAAGCTTCAAAGGCTGGTCAATCAGGACCACAATAGTGTGAGCTTGGAAGTAATGTCTAAGTTTCATAGTCCAGGTGACCAAGGCTAAAGCTACCTTATCTAGAGGGAGGTATTTGGTCTCGGGATGTAAGAGATATTTTCTAACCCTAGTATCTCATTCCCATGGACATTTAATCATTCATATAATCTCATATCACACAACATGTAGCATTTAATACACATAACATGTATTGCATAATGAATGCAATGGCTTAACCCAATCTACTCTCAAGTCCCAAGGTAATCGGGAACCTAAGCTCTAATACCAAGTTGTGATTCCCCAAAATCCGAGAGTCCTTTCTCAATTCATTGATCACCCATTAACCCGTAGAATATCTGTAAATACTGCATAACCCGATACCACATCGTTACTCCTCATTCATTAGAATCATCACAAAAATGGAATTTAGTCAGAGTCTTCTTTACACTAGAGCACTACCAAATATATAACTTTTGCATATATTAATCGTACAACTATTCCAAGATCCAAATCCAAAAATCTAAGATTTAAAATTTAACCATTTACATCATCCAAAAAAAAGAGTTCCAGATATAAAGGCTTGGAAGCTTTGAAGTTCAAAAACCAATTTTCAGGAAGAGATATAGATACCTCTAATAGGTAATATCGGTACCTGAGCCTTCTAGAAACCAGGTGCTGGTACCTATAAAACTTGATATCGACGCCTAGACCCACTGTCATTGGAGTACCGGTACCTATGAGTATAAGTACCTGTATTTGAATCCACTAGAAGCTAGGTATTTGTGAGGTACCAGTACCTAGGGCCCAAATTTCTCCAAATTTCCCAGATTTCAACTTTTAACCCTTCAAACCCATACAACATCCATTACATTCATTTGTTTTCAAAAGAATATTATCCAAGAAAGTCCCATTACATGCCTTAGCCAAAGTACAAGTTTTGAACATAATTAAAACAACACCAATATGGAAATATTCAANTCAAAAGAATATTATCCAAGAAAGTCCCATTACATGCCATAGCCAAAGTACAAGTTTTGAACATAATTAAAACAACACCAATATGGAAATATTCAAGGACTACAAAATGTAATTCAAGAGTCACAGTCGGCTCTATCGTCAACATGGGCCCAAGTGAGGGCTATTCGCTAGAGCCTGTCCAACACCTGAAATGTATCCTCATAAAGGGTGAGTCATGCTCAATAGGGTATCTCCTAAAGAAGTCACTTCTAAACCACAAATCACCATGCAAATCATCATGTCAAATATTCATTCAAACACAAATTTCATAAATGAATTCCTCAATTTCATGTCATGCCATGAGATGAGAACTCACGCATGCAATGCAACCCGAGCCCCACCGTCTCTTATAACACATGTTATACCAAACGTATATATTCGGACATTCCAAATCCCCATCATTGATGTTAGACATCCAATGACTATTTTATAAAATCTTGTGTCTTTCTTGGATAGGTAATTTATGGACATCACACTAGCAATCTACTAAATTGAATGGCATTTGAGGGCATTACACCTTCGGTTCCGAGTACACTGGTGCATTTTTTTGGTTTTGCACTATTGGTCAAGTGAGTGAACAAAGTAATCGGGCATTGCACCCGAGGGAAAGTTTATCCCTTCTTGCTATACCTAACATAATTTTTATACGCAATGTTCTGTGCGACACAATTGGACTTTGATCCAAACTTCCTGAGTCCACCCATGCACCCACACATTGACACTCAGTCCAATGTCCATGAACGTAGTGCAACCCATGCACATGCAATGTAATGTACATTTGCCATTTTTAATTCATCATAAGCTGACTATGACATGTGAGCATATGACAATATCCCATAAAACATCAAAATGTCTATTATATCATGAAGCGTACAGGAACATTTCATAACATTATCAAGCATGATATAGCATTTTCCATTCAAATAACAAACTTGAACATCCATAACCATTTTATCAAATACTTAGTAGGCAAAACATGTAAACACATAGCATGCCCAACAATCTATTTCATCATACCCAAATCAAGCAATAATTAGTTTTAACATATGCTCATATTCATTTTTCATATTGTAGCTAAACTAGGTTTGTGTTATACATAAGAATTCATCTCTATCAACCTATCCATTTCATATGATAACAACATAGGTTAAAAATAAATATAGATAGGAGAGAACCCTACCTCTTATAGTGTATGCCTGCATAGTAGAAGCCTCAAAAACTCCGAATCAAGCCTTTCAAGCTTATGTCGAAATTCACTTCTTTGAGAGTTTGGAGAAAATCACGATCTTTGGTACTGTTGCGTAGCTCTCGTTACATACAACGAATTTAACTCTTGGACCGAAGTGATCCAACAGTTGGATCTTGACGGATCAAGGAAGGAAGGTGGGAGAACTTTGAGATTTTCTCTCTTCTCTCTCTTTTAAGAATTTTTAGGCAAGGATTGGGAGAAAAATTTTACTTTCCCCCTTTAAATACTCTCTGAATGCTTAGCCCTCATTACGTCAGACGTCCCTTTTTAATTGGTCAAATTTTTTTTTTCGAATCCATTAAATCCCATCTGGTGTTAAGTTTAGTATATTTTATCGAATTTACTTTAAATTATTTTTCATGTCTCGCGAATAAAATTTTATTACTTTTATTTAAGTCGCGCGACGTTCGATCACCTGGTAAAACGTAAAAAATCCGTATGTCTGAAAATTCAACGAAAACTGATTAGGTAACTAAATTTTGTGATACAAATCCAACAGTGTGGTCAATTTCTTTATCCGAGTTTTAGAAAAATTTAGATTTTCAACTCATACCGTAACGACTAATGACTATTTTATCCTTTTTAATTAAGTTTTAATTTTTCATGTTGGGCGTGAGAGAGACAATAAGGAAACTGATGTTTTAATTTGGAAAATAGATTCTCGGGACTGAGGGAGAGGATTTGTGAGACATGGACAGATAGAGAAGATTAGGAAAGGAGATAAGGGGGATAAAAGTGATTTAGGATAAGCAAAATGGAACGTTTTTAGGCAGGAAAAAAAAATTCAGAACTCATTTTGGGCTATAGTATCTAAAATTCTGAAATGATCTAAACCGTTGTTTATGTTAAATTATCGTTGTCCATTGAATCAAATCTTTATTTATCTTAAAACGATTTAAACCATTTTTTGTTTTAAAATTCAAAATGATATAGATGATTGGTCAAAATAAACTTGGGTGGTCTAATTTATTAATAGAGTATGCTAATGATTTTGAACTGCAAATATTTTATAATTAGCACTTATTCGGTCATTTGCAAGAGCGACATGATGTGTCCCTCAACATTTTCATCGAATTTTTGATTCTAGGTGGTGTGTCATATTAATAATCATTGACAAGTTAATGAGAGTTTATATGACCTATTGATCTTATAATTTATATTGACGTGGGATTTAAATTTTGATAAAAATTTCACAGATATAATATTGAAATAATGTTATACTGACCAAATCATTTCTCAATTTTGTATCTCAAATTAATGTGGTGGTTGAATCAGTTGAGTTTATTAACTCTATTAAATATTTAATACATATAATTTTGTCATATTACTTAAAATATAAAATTTAATAAATAAATTTGAGTAGCACACTTTGATCCATAATATTATTGTTTGCGGGGTATAGTCTAGTTGTACCTAATTTGACGTGGCACATTACATGTCCAGAATGTCGGTCATGACAGTACAATGGATAGCAGAAAATAAAAATAAAATATTATTTAAACTTAAAAATATGACATAATTTATTAATTTAATGACACAATTTCATTAAAATTATTAGATTAATATTAAATTTTAATATTTAATAAAAATTAAAGTTAATTAAACAATTATAATGTATTAAGTCCATAAATTAGGTCAATAAATTAACGATAGTATAAAAAACTCTCATTTTTCATAAAACAAAAAAAAAAATCAAAGCAAAGGTAGCCNCAATTCCATTAAAATTATTAGATTAATATTAAATTTTAATATTTAATAAAAATTAAAGTTAATTAAAAAATTATAATGTATTAAGTCCATAAATTAGGTCAATAAATTAACGATTGTATAAAAAACTCTCATTTTTCATAAAACAAAAAAAAAAATCAAAGCAAAGGTAGCCAAGAGACTGAATTATGTATCACAAAACCCATTGAGATCTCTGTGTCCATTGCCTTACTTGGCGTTGAGTCTCTTTATCTCAGATCTGTGGGGGTAAGAAAACCGAAAACTCAATTAATCTGCTTTCTCTCTCTACAAAATCACATTGTCTCATACGTGGTAACTTCAAGATCCAAGCTTTTCTTTGTAAACCCATGCTTTCAGTACATCGCGTTTTTTCAGATCACAGGTAAGTAAATCCCTATCCCAAGCTCTCCCTCCCCTCATTTGCATTGTTCTCTCTCTTTCTCTCTCTACAGTCCAATTTCTCACCTTGTCATTTCAAGATCTCTTTCTTCTTGTAAGTTCTATATAAGAAATAAGGGTCCATTGCCTCTCAGAGGTGAGTAACCCGAATCCTAGTCTGTTGAAACGACCCCATTTCCTCATTTTTAGCTTCAAGATCCATACTTTTTTTGCTCGATTTGCGAAATTTTCCGATCCAATTATTCATTTCTATGAATCCAGTTTGATCAGTATTTGAATTTCTCTGTTGAATCAATGAAAGAATTGAATTCAACAACAGACGCAATCGGGCAAAACCTAGTGAAGCTCATAAGCAATCTTTGTTTCTCTGTGTTTGTGTTCTCGGTACTCATATTTACTGTAATTGCCATCACATACCAACCTCCTGATCCATGGGAGTCCTCCAGAGCCCTAACTGGGGTTTTTACCCAAGTCGAAAATGCCACCTTCCAAGCTGACACTTCTGTCCTTAAAACCGGCGAAGATATTGCTGCTCCTTGGGCAGTGCCTGCCGGAGCAGCAGAACCAATCAATGAAACGGTCATTGAGAAATCTGAAGAAAATTTTGCAAGTTTGACCTTAAAATCGGGCTGTGAGGATGTGAGAGTGGTTAATTGCTCAGATCCTAGACTTTTGATTGCAATTGAGAAGTTTAATTTGAAGGTTTTCAAGTCAGTTGTGTTTTTGGAGTACCAAATACCGGTTAATGGATCCAAAGCAGATGAGTGTGATGTGGCTTGGAGGTTTAGAAACAAGAAAGAGAAGTCATGGAGAAAGTATAGGGATTTTCGGAGGTTTAAGATTGGATTTGGTGGTAATTGTACTTATGAAGTGCTTAGTGCGAGGGGTTGGCATTCGGGTATCAATGCCCGCCGGGCAAGGGTTCGAGTTAAAGCGACTGGTAGAGATGAAAATGCTAAAATTACTTCAGCAATTCGGGATGATGAGATCAATGACACGATCCCGGTGTTGGGATCAGACTCCGCGTTTAGGAAGGGGAAGTATTTATACTATTCGCGCGGAGGGGATTATTGTAAAGGAATGAATCATTATCTTTGGAGTTTCTTATGCGCTCTTGGGGAAGCCCAGTATTTGAACAGAACATTTGTAATGGATCTAAGCATTTGTTTGGCGGGAATGCATACACAGAGCAACAAGGATGAGGAGGGAAAGGACTTTAGGTTCTATTTTGATTTTGAACATTTGAAAGAGGTCGCATCTATTGTGCAGGAGGAGGAGTTCCTTCAAGACTGGAAAAAATGGGATAGGGTCCATAAGAAGAAAATTCCGGTTAGGAAGGTTGCGAGCTATAAGATCACACCGATGCAACTAAAGAAAGATAAAAGTACAATTATATGGAGGCAATTTGATGGTCCTGAGCCGGATAACTATTGGTATAGGGTTTGTGAAGGTCAAGCTGCAAAGTATGTCCAGAGGCCGTGGCGTGCTGTATGGAAATCAAAAAGACTTATGAATATAGTTTCTGAGATTAGTGGGCGAATGGACTGGGATTTTGATGCGGTCCATGTGGTTCGAGGAGAGAAAGCTCAGAATAAGGAGCTCTGGCCCCATTTGGATGCTGACACATCCCCAGATGCCCTTGTTGCGAAGCTTCAAGGGATGATTCAATCTCGGAGGAATCTGTATGTTGCCACCAATGAACCCTTCTATTATTACTTTGATAAACTGAGGTCTCATTATAAGGTTCATTTGCTTGATGATTACAAGGAATTGTGGGGTAATTCAAGTGAGTGGTACAATGAGACAAGACTTCTGAATGCTGGCCGTTCAGTTGATTTTGATGGATATATGAGAGTTGAAGTGGACACTGAGGTTCTTTACAGGGCAAAGACACAGGTAGAGACATTCTATAACTTGACCAATGATTGCAAGGATGGGATCAATACATGCTGACCAGGTTGAAGATGCATTTATTGGTGTTTCGAAAGTTTATTTACACATCTTTTTATCTAATTTTACTGTCTCTGTTGTGAATTGAAATGATAGCATTGAGTTCATTTAAGGTTCTATTTTATTCACTGACCATCTACTGGTCATGTTTGCCTATATATGTCCTATAATTCAACTTTTAGCCAGCTTCTACATCGTTGTGACCGCTGGTATCTGTTGCTTGGTGTCTACTGAAAGCAAATGTTTATTGTTTCATTTTGTGTGTATATATGGTGTATTTCTGCAGTATCTGCCAATTTAAAGAATTGCTAGCTTGAGGGTACGAGCCTCTGATCCAAAACATTATGATAGACATAGACTTTTCTGAGATTCACAGAAATCTGGAAGTGTGACATTTGTGGTTCCTTCAAACCTTCAAATCATGTTCATCTTATTTACATAAAGATGAATTCATATTTTCTGGTACTTTTAGTTGTGAAAGAAATGCACTTGCTTTTGAGCCATTGCTTTACCGACGATGTTCATTCCTCGAAGTATTGTTTGCCTTGTGGTCTGGCTTTTTTAAGGGCAACGGGCTTAAATGATAGATGATGGCTAATCTGTTTGCTTGATCCCGTGGTAAGGTCTTAAAAACTTATGTTCTTTAACATTGATTTTTGGAAGTTGCGTGAGTTTTCATGACACATTATTGCGCCCCATTGTCTAAATACCTCCTTGATTCTTACTGGGGTTGCGAAGTGGTGGGTACTGAAACATCGAGGGTTGTAATGGACACTTTGTTGCAGTTTATTTCATGTTAGCACCTGAGTCCAAACTTTGCCAGTATATACACCATGTCCCTGGTATTGTTCGGTATTCCTCACCGGGCACTCGCATTCACTATAGAGAAAATCTGGAACCCCATGAAGGCAGGCAGAATAAATATTTAATTCAGTTAGTTTGGTTTATACAAGTTCCAACGTGGAAGGAGGCTCTTGGTAATAAATGTTTCCGTTTTGACCACTATTCACATCTATTGACTGTAAAAATCGATGAAAACATTATGATCTAGTTGAATTTGTTTGCATAGAGATTGGTTTTGGCTACATCCCTTTAATTAACATTAAGATAATTCTTACATTCCTAGCATAAGACTTACCCAAGAAAAAAACATTCCTAACATAGGGTTGTGATTTGTTGAATGCTTTATGGCTTCTTGGTATACCTCCTCCAACCTTCCCCTTCTTCTTGATGCATCTGGAACTTTCTCTTTGATATCAAATAGAGGTACGTAGTTGTTTTTCCTCTTAATAGTTTTGTCCCCGGCCAAGCCATATCTGCGGTCAGGAGAGCCAATATCCCCAGCCGAGGCTTGAACCCCGTGCCTTCCCCCTGAGAAAGGCCAGGCTACACCACTCGGGCTAACTGTCATGTGGTTGAAATAAAATGATCAAAACACTAGCCACTTTGTGAGTGTTATTTACCAAAATACAGTTATTTTAAAACATATATATCGAAATACGACATTTTTGAATTTATTTATTAAATTATGGTACTTTTTAAAAGCGAATTCAATAAGTTCACTTTTGTTAAAAGACGGAGTTAATTAATCCGCTTTTATTTTTTTTAAAAAATTATAAGTGATAAAAACATGTTTAGTAAATACGCTTTTTACCCTTTTTTTTAAGAAATGTGTTTAGTAAACACGCTTTTCACACAAAAAGATCATCTTGATACCAACAAACTCTTCAACTCATCCTTCATTTCTAAATCAATCTTGGTGTTAAAATAGTTGTAGTTTAATTTGCATAATGGATGCTTCACTTGAATTGAATCACTTCCCAGACATGGGTGGCTGGATCACTTTTCCCTGCATCATAGGATTCTCTCTCTCTCTCTCTCTCTCTCTCTCTCTCTCTCTCTCTCTCTCTCACATACACACACACACAACTACACAATATGAGCTTTTCCCCAAACCCAGCCCCTTTCCAATCTTTATTCTCGAACCCAATTAATTTTAAACTTATTTTCCAAATTCAGTCTTTTTGTTAAAACATCATTTCAAATGACGTCATGGATAAAAATGTCATTTGAAATGACAATTGCAAATTAAAATTTTTTTATTGAAAACGTCATTCCTAATGAAAATTTTAAAGGCGTTAGTAGGAATGACGTTAAGCAAAGTGAATTTCAAGCGGCAAACATAACAGGCGTTAAGAAGCAAATTGACAAGAAAACGTCACTTAAAATGACGTTTTTAAAAACGGCATTTTAAGTGATGTTTTCAAAAATGTCAAAAAACTTTAAAAATAAAAAATAAAAACGCTATGTCCTAAAAAATATAAAATAAATAAAATCCTTAAAAAACCAAAAAAATGAAACTAAAAACCCTAAAAAACCAGCTATTTTTTTTAATAATGCAATTGACGTGTTTGTTAATTATTTTGATGATATTAAATTTTTTGTTTAGTATTGTTTTGTTTTAACTAAAAAATATATTATTAAAGCATGTTTCGCACATAAATTTTAAACTTTGAAAGATACAAAAAAATCTAGTTATAAATTAAAAAAATTTAAGTAATTTAGTGCATGAATTTTTGTGACTAATTTTGAGAAAAATATAATTTTATATGTTTAAAAATTATCTATTCAAATTTTATGTTATAAGTTCATCGAACATTGAGAGTTGACCTACAAAAGTGTGTAAAACTTCAAAATATGAAAAAAGATATTTATACAGTAAAACAAAACAATTTTATTACATGACATTATAAAAAATACAGTCTGTCAATATTGTGGTTGATGTAGAAAATAACATAGAGGGTTGCCGAGTACACATAAAATCGAAGGAATAAAAGTGTTAGACGCATCATCACTTAAATCAGAATAATCAGAAAGTTCTGTATCTAAAACTAGTAACGGATCTTGTAAAATTTGAATCTCAACATAATCAGGATCGAAATGCTCAATTTTTGCATACTCGATTGCATGCAAATGATCAAGTCTACGCTGCATCTGATCGTTTTCACGTTCAAGTTTTGCTATGATCTTGTTATGGTTGGTAGAGTTTTGTGAATTATATATATCTACCGAACGTGCCTTCGATACNCGATCAAGTCTACGCTGCATCTGATCGTTTTCACGTTCAAGTTTTGCTATGATCTCGTTATGGTTGGTAGAGTTTTGTGAATTATATATATCTACCGAACGTGCCTTCGATACCATTAATTCATGCCAATGACAGTATACTTTAAGCTCACAACGTTTGTCATATAACTGTCGTCATTTTGGCGTGGGTTCGATAAGAACAGTCAGAGGCGAATAGTTGGTCACAAACCCAACAAATATGTGTCCAACTTGACCGAAAGAGTAATAAGGGTCGATGGGCTCATTATGGAACTCACGCTTTTGTCCATACCAAATTACACCGGTAGAATCTGTGTAGGATTCAATTGAACGAACTACATTCGACGATGCGGCTCGACCAGTCGAGCGTTGACGTTCATTGGGTGAAGATGAACATTGTTGTTCATTGCGTGATGAAGAACCTTGGGTAGTTTGATTGGATTGTCTTTTAGATGTGCGCCTAGACAATTTTTGGGTTATGATGTACATAATTAATAAGGATGGTTTATATCGACACGAAATGCAGTTATATATAAATTTGACAGGACAATTACCGGTACGACTAACATGACTTGGCATAGATAAAGTAATGATATGACTTTACAATGATAAAGTAATGACATAACTCGTGAATGACAAAAGGACTGACATGACTTGACATTACTCTGACTATACTATTAAAGCAATGAAATGAGTTTACAATAAAAAAGTAAATACATAACAATTCAAATACAAAAGACTGACATGACTTGACACTACACTGGTTAGACAAGCTTGCTATCTCACAAATGAACAATTGTAGACTTTGTTAAACTTCATCAGATATATAATCATCTGACAGGTATTGTGCATTAGACAATATATTGTTTTGCTCAATTGGTGTCAACTCTCGTCCATATGCAATTCCCATCATGTCTTTTGCTTGTTAGAGTATATAATAGCAAGACTTACGAACCAGCATTCTATTATTCTCTCTTCAAACTTGTTTTACTTCTAATTCTTAGTCCTCTTTATTCCGGCGTTACATTGCTTGTGATCGTATATGAGGCACTGGTATGCCAAGTTCTCTTAGTTATGTGAATAGTTCGTCTGATTCTTTAGCACGAAAAGTCCACTCTCGTCGTACTCCTACATAATACTCTTTTAGACCAAAAAATCTCTCATTCTTGTAATCATCGTTTCGCTCTTGTAGTAATCAAACCCATTCACGTTTGCAATTGTTAAATCTCGTAGAAAAATTTGATGTAGACATAATGTTGTGTTTGCCATATCAACCACAAATAAGGTGTTTAAATAGTAGTGTCCCAATTCTAGTGTGTTAGACAAGTCTCATCAGTTAATAGTAAGACAGTGTAGTGATTAGAGGTCATTTATGGTATAACCATTCATTAGACTAGTGTAAGGTCATTTTAGTCTTTGCTCATATGAAATATGTGTTGTCACTTCAACACATGGTATATAGAAACTCATTTAGGGTTAAATCAGTTCAGCACATGGCATGTTGAAACCCATTCAGGGTTTAGTCACTTCAACACATGATATTAAGTAGTCACGAGTAGTCACTTTTTCTTCTTTAGCATTATGACGGAGTAGTTACTTGTCACTTCAAGACAGTGTTTGTATTGATATGGTCAATTGCTGGGAGATGTGTGTATTTAATAAAACACATGTCTTGAAGTGCATTTATAGGTTTTTTTTTCATTTCATCAACAAATTCATTGAGTAAGTGGGTCGTCAATTTATGTGTAATAGAAAAACAATCAGTGTATTGTCAAAGTCATGATAGTCCTTTCTTAGTGAATTGATATGTCCATCAATACCTTGATTTTTAAGTACTATATATTCATTGTTTGTAAGCAACTAAGTGAAGAAAACTTATTTCCAACATGAATTATAGTGTGAGAACTTTATATGAAAATATGTGGTATCTTTGGGCCTTAGAGGATGAGTTCTTCTATCCAATGAATTCTCATTTACGTTTTCAAGCAGGGTCATAAGAACTATGAGGGTAGAATTGTAATATCGTTTGACAGAGCGATAAAATCTTATTAGAGATATGCAAACTTGCAATTTATGAAGGTCTCGACAAATTGCAATCCATATGCCAGTTGAGACACCACAACAACTAGAGCGAGCATTGTATCATTTTTTAGCCGAGAAAAATCGCATGATAATCCATCTAAATCATTATAACCTTCGTCGCATTGCACGAGAACGTGCTGAAGAAAAGTTAATGGAAGAAGCACCTATAAGTTTCCTCCTAAGTGGAGAAGTTGAATGTATTTCTGATGTCGAGATGTCTGACGAAAATGTTGATTAATGAAACATGTGTGGATAAGCCCACATCTCTGTGTTGTGTGGACACACGTTATGTTAATGTTGTATGGAGAACTATGATATTAGTGTTGTGTGTTGAACTGTCATATCTGTATTGTGTGGACAAGTGTTAAGTTAGTGTTGTGTTGTGTGGACAAGTGTTATGCTAGGGTTATGGGAATAAGTGTTATGTTAGTGTTTGTGTGTAGAAATGTTATGTTACTATTATGCAAAGAAGTTGTATGTTAGTTTTGTTGTCTCTAGATCATGTTATTGTTGTGTTGAGATTTACATGTAAAGTATAATGTACGTGTAATGTTGAAGTGAGTTAAATGTGTTGTATACAATATTGATTATGTATGTGCCGACTTGATTGAAGAATGAAATAAAAAAACATGATTTGTGTATGTTACAATGTATTTGCAAAAGAAAAAATTTGTACAATTCAGGGGAAAAAAAGGCAACAAATACATCAAAATCATGTCCCACAAGCAGGTGGTTGCCTATGTCACTTCGACTATCTGAGAACCTCTTGCTCAATATCCTGTGGTGCAGCTTGTGTCACTTGTGACACACCGACGTCATCGTGATGAAGTGCATAATGTGCACGACCTCGCCCTCATCCCTGGTCCTATCATCCACCTCTAACCGGTGGTCCAGATAGCACATGGCGTACACCTATAACTGTAGCATCCTGTGTCACTCCCTCTTCATCTAACAATGGATCTAGTATAGGAGGCTATCTAAGAGGGGTAGAAGGGAATGTGTGTGATGATCCCATGGTAACACCTGCTGACACTACTAGTGGAGTTGAAATGGGAACATCCACATGTGTATGACAAGCTTTCATTGTAAATATAGGTGTTGGTGTCAGTGTGGATGCAACCGCAGTTGGTGTCGGCATGGGTGCTGGTGTTAGTGTGGATGTAAGCACAACCGGTTTCGGCGTGGATGCCGGGGTCGATGTAGGTGTTGATGC